AACTACACCCCAATTCAACCACGGAAGTCGTTTTCGGATCTTCACGGCTTTAGCATCTGAACCCGCATATTAACGACAGATATGGCAAGAACAAACGCAGGGGCTCGGTCTAGTAGGGGCAGACGTGTTACCTGGTCACCTTATGCCAGACGTGCCCGTAGCGAAGCCGACATGGACAGACTGTTATGGCGAGCGTTACCTCCTGGCTTCGATGGTCCAATCATTGACGAATTCCCCGGTGAGCGAATTGAGGCGGTCTATCTTGTTAAAGCTTCGAACACCAAGCACTTTCGGCTCCTCTCACAAGCGGAGATTGACCGGCTCAAGCTAGGTGACTTGTTTCGAGCCATAGTACACGAAGCAACCACATCTCCTCGTGAAATTGGAGAAAAAGGAATGACACCCACCATCTTTGGCCAAGCCGTACCCAAAGATCGATTTTTTGTCCTCGTAAAGAAACACCGAAAGCATGGGGTGTTCATACCTGTGACATCTCGAGAGTTGCAGGGGCTAAAGGGTCTTCATGAGGCAGAACGATATGCTTACATCGGTTTTCGAAAGGAAGGGGAGGTCTTTGACCGCAATAAGCTTACTGAAAAAGATCCCCAGTACCTAGCTAAGTGGGATCCGCTTATGCTTGCCGAAGGGGACTTAGATCCCTTCTCGTTTGCGAACCTCTCTTACCCAACGTCATTGTATTGGTCCAGCAACCTCCTGCGTGCAGGCTGCCTGACGAACCTCAGTACACAGCGGGTGCTTGAGCTGTTCGAAGAGATCGACCAGGTCACTCCAGAACAAGATCTTTCATCTGAAATGGAAGAGCTGAAGGATCAAGAAAATGCGTTTATATTCCAGCTTCATGAGTCCACTGCTAGCAGCGAAGAGGATCCAGACCGGCCAAAAGGTACTGCAAATCAGCAAATCGCCGCCTACAGCGCACGATATCGTGACGTCGAATCTGTTTTGAAACCTCTGAAAGAAGTCGAAGATAAGATATTCCAGGCCGTGGATGATAGCACCATCAACGCCGCCAAGGCAGAGAACAACGTGCGAAGAAAACGGTTCGAGTACCACAACGCGCTTCAAACTGGTGACATCGGTACACTTGCACTAGAGCTGTACCAAAAGGAGATCGAAGAAGCCAAGATCGATCGTGACGAGAAGCAGAAGATCAAGGATGATATGGTGGCATTAGCTGAGGAGATGGAGCAGAAGCCCGAACTGAGGCCTCGTATCCCGGCTGGAGCGGAAATCACGGAGGGGCGGATGACTATCATTAATGACGCTATGCGATCGCTTCAGGACCGTATGGATAGCATTTCTAAGCAGATGTAAGTTGACTGGGTCGACCTACACGTATGGATAGGCATTGCAGCATGTCTTTACAGCGCATGATATAATATATTCCTCAGTTCTTCATTAACTCGCCCCCTCGATACAGTAACGCCGTGAAGTAAACATCACTCTAAGCTATGCATCATGGGCCAAGAAATGTATGATGTGATCTTGAAATGAACATGATATGGTATTGGGTATTATCGCACCAAACAACTAACTCCAAAGCGCCTCGCTACTATGCCATCGCAAGTACTCATACACGCGTCAAGTTTGCTCCCTCAAAAGCATCGTACCAGCCCTTCATTTCCCACCGCCTCGTCAACAGCCATTGCTTCGTCTTGGCGTTCTCATAAATATACGGTTGTTTCCACCACTTCTCGTGGACGCTGACCAGCCCCTTGGCGATATCCACGTCGTTTGGACAACGGATGTTCCAGGTGTATGCAATCTCCCGCCACGGCATCGGCCCGTCCCAACGATGTGCGAAGTTCATGAGGTTTTGTTCGGGGTATCGGGGATCGAAGGAGTTGGGTGTGTTAAGGAGCTCTTTGTAGTAGTTGAATGCGTCGAGCGAGGGTGCGAGGATGAAGAAGCCGGCGTTCATCTTGCCGGCCTTCTTCAGGCCGGTGCCGTGACCGGGTGGGAAGGAGTGGGTCGAATCCCAGACTTCGGAGTTGGATGCGAGGAGGTAGGTGGAGGGTAGGTTCGTTTCGTTCGTGGGCTTCGTGGCAAGGAGCTGGGCGCCTGGATCGTCGAAAACGCCGTCGAGGTTCTTTAGCAGCATCGAGTCGCCGTCCATCACCAGGATGCGGTCGTACTGTGTCATTTCCCAGACGCGTAGCTTCGTCATAACGTCGTCCCATCGGTGCAGCTCGGCGTGGACCCAGCTGTCGTTTTCGGTGTGCAGGAATTCGACAGCGTGGACGATGGCGCCATCCTTCGCTAGGCGGTCGCGCCGGGCCTGAGAGACGCTGGGTGTGACCATGACGACGACATCGTGCTTCGTGCGAGTCTCCTCTTTGTGTACGAGCTGCCAGACGAGAATGCGGATAGCTTGGAAGTACTTGTCCTCCTCCAGATCATCGCCCGCATCAACGGTTCCGGAGAGAAACGTGACGTATGCTAGCCTCTCCTCCCTGTCGAGAGTAATGTTGGCGTTGACATAGGGCGGTGGTTGCGGTATCGGCTCCTTCTTTTCTTCTGATTTGGCGGCGCTGTCGCTTTTGTGACTCTTAAACTCCGGAATAGAAATGTGATCGAACGCGCGCGTTTCCACGGCAAGAAAAACAAATGCCGATACGATCACAAACGTCCCCAGCGCAATCCGGATCCATCGAGGGCTTGCAAAGATATTCCAAGAGCCGGAAGGCTTCATCCAGTTGGGCTTCGACCCAGACATGGACGCCATGGTGCTGGAGCAAAAGAACGACTGAATTCAAGCTTACCGGCAGGCAGCGACGCCGCCGTATTTCAACCTCATCCCTTTCCACGCCGGTCCCGTAAGCCCAGCCGCATCCGGTTGGACAGCATATTATGCGAGGGGGCAAACCCGTCGAAAGGTAGGCAGCCTACCATGAGTCGCGGACACCCCGGCATATCTTGCGCTGTCCAGACCCTTGCGAACGCTGACAGGCTTGACAAGCAAAGCTTGGCGAGAATGCGATAGTTTGATTAGCTGCTAAGCATGCAGCGGAGATGATCGCCCCCGCCCCCTTGTCGGCGCAGTAAGACCAGCTCAGCCCTGTACATCTGGGGACTTGCCCGTCGAGTATCGTGAACATAACGGGCCGAACGCTGACCTAACCAAGACTGCACAAGCAGAGTAGCCTCGGTGCAATGCGCAAATATTTCCTCCTTGGATGCGCCCTTGGAGGCCTTGTATAACCGTCCGAAAATGAAGAAATTGATGCGAGGCTCGTATCGCGTTTGATCTTTCGCTCGTTTGCCCAGAATAGCCGGGCTAGCAGCAGTCGCGCCACGCCTACTTAGGTACAATCCGCTATTTCGGGGCGCCTAACGACGCCAAATTAAAAACGCAAAGCTTACGGTCTGGAAACTTACAGAAAGACATGCTGTCACAGTAACACAAAACTTTCCATGCGCAGTCCGATCGTTCTTCGGAATGTTTTGATCAAACCTTGGAACTGTTCGGCACCGACGGGAACCATAGCACAGGTACACGAGCAGACTAATCTGGTAGGAGCACAGGCATATGCATGCCTAGAAGGAGCAAGGTCTAATAAGATTATACGCATTTCTTTCCTGAAAAGTCTGACGGGATCGTCGGTGTACTGTAGGGCCGTTGCAGCCAGAGTACCCAAGAAGGTGATTTCGGCCAGATTTCGCCTGTGTCGCGCCGTGCTGCGGTACTGAACCTGGTCAATCTTCTAATCCGCTGGTAAGATTGCTGAATAATCGGTGGAAAACCGTTGGGGGTTCTAGTGTAGGATATACTAGGCGCACCGTGACGGCAGCGCACCGCGTCAACGCCATATCACGGCGGGTGTATGATTGTACAGATATCCGGGTACTGTTTCATCTACTGTCATGCCTCACAAGAACGGTGTATGATCTCGCCTTGGCCGCTGACAGACAGCGCAGCCACGTCGGTTACGCAAGCTACACGTTGTAGAGGTACGCCTGACCGGCGTTTACGCGGTATGCAGAAGCTTTCCAAGCCCTTGAAAAGAGTGCATCCATAATGCACACGTCGAGTAATCCCTCAGTTTGAACGGCTTTCGCATGGCGCAACTTCTTGATGGCCTTGAGCTCTTCAGTCGAGGTCATTCGACGTCTGTCGCGGGTACCTGTACCGGGTCTCTCTTAACAGGGTAAGACTTTGCATAGGATGCAACGCGGCAGAAGCAAACATTGTACCTCAATGGAGCTCAATCGCCGTGTTCGTCGCATCTAGATTGAGGCGTGGAATTCCCTGGCGTTCTTGGACGCCCCGAAGTCAAACATCAAACGTGTTTCTTCCCCCATTGTGAGCCCCTCAGTTGAGGTTGAGGCGTGGTAGCAGCCCCATCGCCCATCATAGCGGCATCCGATCGTTCGCCTTACACTGACATTTGACTGCAGCCAATGAGACGCAGATGCATGCGTGTGACGTGGTATATCGCCGGGTCCGCGGAGCTGTATGATGTAGTCAATACAAAGCTGCAGGCCTAGGAAGATAAGGAGGCGAAGCAACCCCAAATCCTTCCGGGCGAAGTACAGGATGCAGACGAGGTACTCAAACACAGCACGCGTTTCAGCTTGATCGCGACATGCAACCTAACTCGTCAGTCTGGATTTTACCGTCATTCGTGGAATCGTATGAGATCAGTGGAGGCTGTGTACCTGTCGTTGTCGGCAAGGCGCCTGCATGCCAAGACCTCGCCTAGCTTCCCGCCTTCCTTCGAAACTGGCTGGACTCACGACTTGGGCACAACACCCTTAGCGGCCTCAGCAAAACGCGCTCTGAGTGATGCCCACAGCCAGTCGCTCCGCCATGAGTTTCGCAATCGCAGCTGCATCACTGAACTGCTGGAAAATATCCAGGCCAACGGTTTGCGTCGACGTCGCACCTTCCCCTCCAGTCTACCTCGGCAGTTATGGGTCTCGCGTATCGACAGACGCAAGCACGACCAACAGAATGCTTATGCATCCCTCGCCCCACGATGTCACGTGCAAGGAGGTCAAATGCAGTCCTACCAACTTCCTGAAAGAGAAAGAGTTTACAATTACTTCGGAGATCTTCGAGCCACTTAAAGCTGAAGAGATGAAGTGGATAGATGGCGATATAGGTCTATCGCTTTCCGATAATCCGCGTCCTTCACCTCGTTCAATCTAGAACCTATTGTCATCAAAGATGGACACTCAAAACCTATCCAAGTATCAAGGAAAACCACTAGACGCCAGTCGACGAGAATTTCGGTTACTACATCTCCACCCGTCTAGCACTGACCGCATAGCAGCCACACTGAGCGTGAAGGATCTCGCAAGTGCGGCTGGAACCTTTGCATGCGTCTCTTATGTATGGGGCGATCCCAACAAGACGGTATCGATCGAAGTAGACAACCAAGAAGTACAGATTACGAAGAACCTCTTCGACTTCCTCTGTCACATCAGAGACCCAAACGAGACTCTCACACTCTGGGCGGATGCCATATGCATAAACCAAGCCGACCTGAACGAGAAATCGCAACAGGTGGCCATGATGGGGGACATCTATTCCAGATGTTCCGTCGTGCACATTTGGCTTGGTACAATATCAGATTCTTTACCACCAGGAACAGCCCCTTTCGCCTGGATCGAGCATATGGCAGAAGGAAAGCACTGGCACACTCTTCCCGGCATTCTCGATGAGCAAGATGGAAAGCCTAGCGAAGAGTTCACCAACGACCGAATCGCCTTCGATCTCATGATAAGCAGCCCATGGTGGCAGCGATCTTGGACCGTCCAAGAAGTCATCCTACCCAAATCCACCATCCTCTGGTACGGGACCTACCATACGACCTGGAACAGCTTCGCACAAGCGATCCGAAACCAAGACACGCGAGTCAGTTACTGCTGCCTACCTGAGACTCTAGAAACAAAGAAACATTGGCTTAAGATCAAAGTCATTGATGCTTTCATGTACGAGCATGAGACGATCAATTGGTTCCGAGAGTATTACCACGGCAGCATTGCCACTATACCTGGTCATACATCCACTATCGACGGAGTGATGCCATTCAAAGAAACGCTACTCTCCTTCTCGAAGCGACAGTGTCATGACCCCCGCGACAAAGTCTTTTCCTTCCTAGCGCTAGCACCACCGCGGATGTTCGACAACTACAAACCGGACTACACGGAACCCTTAGCGGAGACCTGGACGGATGTATACCGACTGATGCTAGATCACACTGCTGATGTTTCAGCTGTTCTGCAAGGCAATGGGTTTGGGCCGAATGGCAACGGCAGACCATCTTGGGTTCGCGATCTTGCTAGTATGCCCACCGACCCCATGTATGAGCGCCACAGGCTTAGCCTTGCCGGAATGTACCAATGCAGTGGAGAATCAGTGGGCACATTCATCTCAACCGACAACGGTGAGCTGCATGTCAAAGCACGGGAAGCAGATGTCATTCGTCATGTGAGCACACCACACACTCTTAAATCTGGTCCGAGGGCGATGATGGCCAACATGAGACATTGGCACCAACTGGCCATGCAAGTGCTATCCTGCACCAACGAAGCGATCATCCGAAAGCCTTTCCAACGCACACTATGCGCAACGCTGCACTCGATGAAAGAAGGTTCCTCATGGCGCCGCAGTACAGATGAGGATCTGCCTAGTCTCCAAGACTGGCAAGAGTTTCTGGATTCGGAGCCTGACGTCTTTCCGTTTCACTCAACGTATCTGTCGCCGGTTATAGTGGCCGCGGAGGATCGCTGCTTTTACATCACGGACAAGGGGAACATGGGATTGGCTTATCCTGGTGTAAGGCCTGGGGATGAGGTTTGCGCTTTGATGGGGATGCGAGTGCCGGTTGTATTGCGGAAGGCAGAGGGAGAGCACGATGATAGGAATGCTTATCATTTCATCGGAGACTGCTTTCTACTCGATCACATGGATGGGGAGATCATGCGGAATGAGGAGGAGATTAGGGAGGTTGTTCTTGTCTGACATCGCCACGATTCACAACACGAGAGAGCGTAAAAGACTTAACAAGATGAACTACTGGGCTTAGAGACGGAGCGCGTCCCATTCCACGTGAACTATGGAGCTCGCTACGAAACATTGAACACCTGACTACCAGAGACATGTGTCCAACCCACTTGCTGACCAATCTTAGAATCGTAGTTGTTGAACGTCGCATTCCTGTTATCCTGTTTCCGATGTCAGTGTTGGCCCGATGTTCGCATTGGCATGAAGTTACTCGCCTCTGACTGCAAAGTCTCGATAACAGCTCGGTTGAGTTCCTTGTCTTGCAATGCCGCAATCTCTTTCAATGCACGGAGACAGTCTCTGGAGCTGATCTCCGACACTTCTGTTCTGCACAGTCTACGCTGTTCTTCGCATGCTGCGGGGAACAATTGCACGAGATCGCTGACGAGATCCGTGATATCTTCGATCAACCTCTTGAAATGCTTCTCTTCGTAAAGTGCCCACTGCACCTTTTGCCGTAACGGTGTACTATTCTGGCGTTTGATGGATAGAGAGCGCATTCTTTCGTGTAGCAATTGACCTACAGGCTCCATGTCTGTGGCTGAGTCTAAAGTCGCAAGGTTCCACTCGACTTCTCCTGCCCGGTTTTTGTACTTAGTCGAAATACCCTCAGCGTTTGCGAACAGATCCAGTATCTGTGACAGTACTCTTTCGGCTGCGGCTACATCTCCCGGCGGTCCTGTTGCTAGCCTGACATTGTGAGCGTTGCTGAAGTCGCTGTCCAAACCAACAGATTCGCCCCAACGCGAAAGTCGCAGTCTTGCATTATCCAGCTTGAGTAGGCTAGTTTGGAAATTAGTGCCGAAAGCACGTCCAAGTCGGATGTATTCGAAGCAGTCTATGGCGTTGTTGAAGGTGCTTGCAAGGGCCACGATCCCAAATGCAAGACCAGCTGGTTCCATGGTGAGAGTCAGCGAAAAGACGAGGATGCTGATATAAGAAGAAAGCCCACGAAAGGAATGTTTGATAGATCGCGATAATGCGGGAACGCTCGCGTTTTCGTTGTTGCTCACGCGGAAGGCTGAACCGCTGCGTGTGGCGCCATCGGCTGCATGAGCCTTCAGCCGTCCAGAAGTCTGCCTCGCAGAATCTCTCTGTGGCTGCCTCAGTCCTGCCATGCGCACAATACTTTCCCTAAGCCGACATCCGTTGCCCTATCCCCTTGCACTGCCTTGCTTCTCCTGTGACATGTCGCACATCTTCGCCCTTGCTACTTAGCAGCCATGGATCCACATACACCCGCTCAGCCTTGCAGCTTCAATAACGACGGTGGGAGGCTTGCCATCCAAACGGGGGCGTATCATAACCATGGCCAAACAGTTGTGAAGTATGCGCACTGCTTCGGGATGGAAGATAAGTCCAGGGTTGCTGACGGAGGAACAGTCAAACCTCGGCCGACAAGCTCAAGCGATTGCCGCACGCCGTCGAGGCGCCGTTCAACGCGTACATCAGGCAGCACGAGCCTTTCTGCCTCCCCTCGACACGAACCGCCCTCTTAGAAGCGATATACGATTGGACAGATGCACAAGACGAACGATGTTTGTACTGGTTGAGTGGACTCGCTGGTACGGGAAAGTCGACAATCGCGCGGACTGTGGCTCGCAGGCTCAACGATCAAAGACGCCTAGGGGCCAGCTTCTTCTTCTCCAAAGGCGGCGGCGATGTTAGTCATGCGGGCAAATTCGTAACCAGCATCGCCGTCCAGCTTGCGAGTCATGTCCCAGGAATACATCAGCATTTAGCTGATGTACTTAAGAAGTTCCCTAATATCTCGAGTCTTTCGTTGCGCGACCAGTGGCGCCACCTTGTCCTTGACTTTTCATTTGCACCAGCCCTTACAATCGACGCCAGTTCTGTCATCCTAGTTGTTGATGCGCTGGACGAGTGCGATAACGGCGACGACATCGGAAGAATCATTGAGCTGTTGGCTGAAGCTCGGGACCTGGACGGACTCCGACTCCGAATACTTGTAACGAGCAGACCTGAAGTACCGATTCGACATGGTTTTGAGTCTTTTGACCACATGTCGAGCACGCTGCTCCAGCGCTACGTGCTACATCGCATAGCGCCCAACATAGTCAATGCTGACATAGCGCTCTTCCTGAGCCACAATCTAAAGACTATCGGTAAACAACAATACCTAACTGCGAATTGGCCCGGTGCTAAGGTCATTGCAACGATGACAGAGAGGGCCAGTGGTCTCTTCGTCTGGGCGGCGACAGCGTGTAGATTCATCCAAAAAGGAAGACGATTTGCGGAGCGGAGATTGAAGTCGATCATGAAGGATGATGTCCGTCCGATGGAGCCCGAAAAACATCTCGACAACTTATACCTTACCGTTCTGCGAGACTCACTCTCTCCTGAATACAGCGCAGAAGAGAAGGAAGATCATTGCAAGATGCTGAGACTCGTGCTCGGAACCCTGACAATCCTGCATGTACCTCTCAGTGTGCAAGCGCTGGGTGAGCTACTGGGCGTGGGCAGAGAAGGCATCGAACGGATCGTCCAAGACTTGCATGCAATCCTTGATCTGCCGGAAGATGAGAATCGAACAGTCCGCCTTCATCATCCCTCCTTACGTGACTTTCTTCTCGATCGAAATCGATGCACGGATATCAACTTTTGTGTAGACGAAGCACAAGCGCATAGTGTTGTAACGTCCAAGTGTGTTGAGCTAATGACACGCTTTTCCCAAGACAATCAAGACATACACGCAGAGATCAAGTTTAGCGGTTCGCCTTCCGGGCTTTTACTTTCACATTCTCTGGGGCTGTGGTACGCGTGTCTACACTGGTATTTTCACTTCGACAAAAGCGAGATTGAGCTTGCCAAGAATACTCAAGGTCTCGTCATCCGTGAGGAGTATCCTTTTAATTGGCTAGCACGATGTGCTGCAATACGTCCGTGGGGAAGGGTAGATTCAATCAAGGCCTACGGAGATCTGTACGCCAAACTCGAAGTTGTATTAAAGAAAGTTGAAGCATAATGCTTACGGTACGCATCGGTACTCCATTTATTTTTCTTTCTCCGCAGGTTTTAGCTCTTTCTGTGCTTTTGGACAAGAGAGCAATAAACTTCACATCTTAGTTTTAACCACTGAATCTCTAAGGAATTACATTCAGCTTCAATTCTTGAATGGGTTATTGAGGAGATCTGCCGCGTTGTGGGCGCAGTTCAGCGCGCCAACACATTTACCAACAAATACAAGGGCGAAGTTTCATTCTTCTATCTCTCCCTCTGAAAGATGGCAGCAGCACATAATTGTAGTGTAACTTGAGTTATCAAGCTAAGATTTCAGAATGAATTGTGATCGCAATCTACTAAACCTGAGTCTCACAATCGACAGGTAGTTGGACACGTAGCTGTACCAACGAGCTCTGGGCGTCGTTGCGAGTAGCTAAGGGGGAGTATCATCTCAGTTAAAGATTTTATAACATTTTGATGTTCAGACTAGCTGAGAAGATATATGCCCAACCACCGGTGGATGGCAGTAGGGTATCGTAGACCAAGAAAAAGCAAATACACAAACAAGACAAGACAAAGCTCGCAAAAAAGCGCAACACAGACCAGACAAACTGTCGCCCAAAGTGATAAAGATATGCCTCCGACTCCCCCATCCTAGTCCCACCACATTATGCATATGCCCGCGATATCGACGTTCATGATCGTACCGCGCCGTTTCCGTTCGCTTTCCACCTATCTCCTCGCATCACTCTCCCTCCGATTACTAGGCGCAATACTGCTCCCCCTCCTCATGCGATCACTAGGCGCAATGCTACTCGCCGCAATACTAACAACATCGCTCATGGAATCCTGATCGCGCTGGTAACTATACTGCATGCCCGAGTCGGGGCCTTTGAAGCCGTTGTCCCAAGCCGAGATGCGCGAAAGAAGCCTACACACCCAAATTAAAACGATTCCTTTTTGCACAGCGAGATACGCAATGTGCGATGTGGATGTGGATGTGGATGTTGGTGTGCCCTTACCGATCGTCTGGCGGACCGTAGTATTCTTCTGGGATGAGCTCGTAGTCGCCTTCGACGGGGAGGTAGAAGGCGGATACGGCGATGGCGACGGAGGTGAGGAAGAGGATGGTCCAGCTGGCGGTGCAGAGGGTCCACGAGAGGTCGAGGTGCCAGCCGGACCAGAAGCGCTCGTCGTGGTCGAAGAGGAAGGCCTGGGCGTGTGACTGTTAGCATGCTTTGCTTCTGCGATGGGGATGGGACCCTGCAGGAAGCAGGGAAAACGCGGGGAAAGACACGTACCACTATGGCCATGCCGGCGCACTGGACGATGGCGCTGAAGGACAGCACGCCAACGGCGACCTGCCAGCCTGCGGCCCGGCGCTGGACTCCGCCCGAGATGATGACGATGAAGGAGACGATGGCGCAGAGCTCGACGACGACGCCGAAGGAGGTCAGGAAACCGACTGTCCGCCACATGTTGCAGAAGGACGGGTCCTTTGTGCAGTCGCTCATCTTGGGGAAGGGGACACAGGTGCCCGTGACGGCGGAGCAGCGACTGTGGAGGCCGTAAGAGTATTCGCGCTTGCCGTCGGGGCTATAGCTGACCCATCGCGGCATCGAGATACTGGCGATGGTCATGATGGTGCCTGCGCAGTCAATCAGTCTCATTTTCCTTTGTGGCGGAATATCATCGTCTCTTACAGGCCAGTGTGAGGATGAGCCCCACGCCATATACAATTCTTCGCGTCATGGTGGATGTGTAATTACTGTCTCAGCGGGTGGTGAGAAGTTTCGCCCCGAGACTCGTGTCGAATCGAGACGGTGGCGCAAAGGGAGGAGTTGCGGGGTTTATGATGCGGCGGGATGCGCGATTAGGTGTGAGGCGTGCAGTTGCAGCGTGCGTGCAGGACGGAGAGGCTCTAACTCTAGGCGGCGGTCGAGTACAAAGGGTGGGTTGGCAGGCGCGACCGAGCGAATAGATAATCAGTCGCCAGGTGACTGAGGGCAGGCACAGGTGCGGGGAGGACGGATTCAGCCGGGGCTACACGGGGTCAGAGCGACACCATGATATGGGTGCGAGTTGGCTGGTGGGTGGGTGTGAAAAACGCTGCTCTCCCGTCTGGAATCGCGCTAGGAGGGGGAGGATCGTGGTATGGCGAGGCGTGTGCTCCATGACGACAGGGGCGCTTGGACGCCTTTCCCCACGCGCCCCTAGCTTCACTTCACCGCTAGGACTTTTCCTCGACACCACCTACTGATAGCGCATAGCGCGTTGTGGGTATAGCCAGTGTCACGGTGTTCACATTCTCATTTCACGTATATACGTTATACGACATGTTCCCTTCACCAAGCGAGCGCGAAGGATTCATCGCTTCGGATGGCGCAAACACTGCATCGCATTTCGGAAAAGCGGTGTCAAATCCCATGTTGAGCTTTGCGCCATGCTCCGATCGCCGATCATGTCGTGATAGACATGGCATGATCCTAGGCTCTGCTACTTCCTTGAAACTTAAACTTTTGTCAAGTCTTGTGAACTTCCCAGTATCCTCCGACTCCAAATCTTTGCGTGTCACAGGTACGAGGCATTTTTGGATGGGATGATGGATTGGCAGTTGCATACACTGATAAGGATCTGGTCACGCACACCAGCCACACCACCGATCAGCGTCAGCCCACCGGTATGCGAACTGTAGCGAACACGTGGGGCCGATGCGACATTGGAATGGTAAATCGCGGTACCAGCTGGACGCGAGTACAGCAATGGTCATTTGAAATTTGCCTCACCGCTTTAAGCCTCACGATTGATGTCGCTATGAAGCTATTCTTGCTAGGCTAGGGAGGCCTCGGTGATAAGAGGCGCTGAGCTAGGTAGTCGGCAAGGACCTAGTGGATGCACTCCGCACTGCAGCATCATGCAGCTACCATATTGGCCTGCATCTATCATTGGACGATTAGTGCTGCAACGGCGCATGCCTTGCACGGAGGAGAGAGCGAATTGATAACGACGCACGTCGTTGAAGGCTATTGGACCACCTGCCAGTCTAAGGTTGGTATGTCCAGCCTGCAAGCTTACAATGGAGCTTTAAAAGTATACATATAGTACAGAGGACGTGTTCCTCGAATGGGTAACGGTCTAGAAGACAACGTTCTCGGGGTTTCGCTCAGGCTGTGTCCTCGGCTTCTGCAGCATCTCGTAGCAGAGTATCGACGCCGCAACGCTGACATTCAAACTGTCGACTCCGACCTCGTTGGCCTCGCGGCCATGGGGGATTCCGACCTTGTATCTCGCCAGGTTGACCAGACTGGTCTTCAATCCCGTGCCCTCAGCACCCATCATGAGGATTGTGGGGTGCTCGGCAACTGGGCTGTGGTCGGCGGGAAGACGTTTCCTACCCTGCGAAATAGTGTAAACTACTTTGTTGGATCCAGGCTCGGGTGCGTCTTCGGTTGAAGAGAGACTTGGGGGCGCAGGCGGAATGGCGTCGCTCGCGTAGATGCACCACCCTGCACCCGCGCTCTTTTTCAGGAAGTCGGTTGGGTCTCCGACCTTGAAAAGCGGAATGGCTTCAGCGGCACCGGCCGAAGCCTTGACCGCGATGTGGCTCCAGTTTGCGGTATGGTGGGTCGGCGTGATGATGGCGTCCGCACCCAGGACATAGGCTGAGCGTGCAATAGCCCCAAGATTGCCTTCGTCGACCTGTCGTTGTTAGCTATCATCGTATAGACGGTATTGCTGTACTTACTACTCCATCCACGTAGAGGATCAGTGGGTGTCTCCACCCTCCCGACTTGTACGAGTATAGCTCTTGCTTGCCGTTAACGAGCACGTCTTCAGCGCTTTGGCTATCAAGTGTGACCCTGAAGCTCTCATCCTCGAGAGAAGCCGTTTTCAGTTCGGTAATGGGAGGGACGGGCAGAGGCGATGCCTCGAGAATTACCCCGTTGTGAGGTCGACCACTACTTGCTCTGTCCAAAGCGCGCATATACTCATCTCCAACTTCTTGTGTGATTGGGAATAGTTTGTGCGACCTGATACGAGACATGAGGCCTTCTCTACTTGCACCTCGTGAGTGTACATATAGGTTGTAGAATTTTCGCCGGTCCGCCTTGATCGCAGCTACCACGCTCCCATACCCGTATACGAACTCTGAAGCGGCAGTCGTGTAAGGGAGTGACTCTGGTCCTCGGACGGAAGGTTTTTGTGTCTCCGTGCTACTTCTCGTCGCGGAGTCGGGATCAGAAGACTCTCGGCCATGGCGTTCTCTTCTGGCGCCCTTCGAATCCGGTCTGTGAGAGAATCGCGGTTCGAAAGAACGATCGTTTTCATCCCGAGCTCGCGGACTGTATGATGTGGCGTCATCACCCCTTTGGGAGAATCGAGCTTCAGTGACACCTTCGTCTGCTACATCGCGAGTGCGGGGCGTGTATGAAGGCGCCCTGTCGTCCCTCCAGTTTCTCTCAGGTCTCTGTTTCCGTGAGTCGTTGCGATCATTTGTCCTATGTTTCCGTAAGTCGCTGCGATCATTTGTCATACGCGGCCGGGGCCTATCGCCATCATCATAGCGTCGGAAAGTTCTTTGTGGGTGTATATCCCCGTTTCGTCTCCCCTCTGGATCAAGCCTGTGCGGAGATCGTTTTTTCTCGCCATACTGTCTCTCATATTCTTTTTGTGCCTCGCTGGGGCGGTGCGACCTCTGCTCGACTCCCGTTCCGCGCGCATCTCTTCCAAAGCTGCTTTGTCGCTCTCGTTGAAACCCGCCTTGTCGTTCTCTTCCCAGATCACTTGATCGTTCTCTTCCAAAACCACTCGATCGATCTCTTCCAAAGCCGCTCGGTCGCTCTTCCTTGGACCGACTCGGCGCATCGTCATCGCGGGGTATACGTCCAAATCTGCTACTGCGAGGTGCTACAGTCGAGCGATCACCGAAATTTGGTTCTGGATCCTCACGAGGACGGCCAAATTTCTCGAACCGTGCCTCACGGCGAGTCTGACGGCGATTCTTCACCGGTTCATCTCCTTCATCGTTGCGGTCGTTTCGTGTCCGCGGTCGGAAGGGTCGATCTGGTCCACCCTGCCTGCCCCTCTCGATGGCGGCAGTAATGGATTTGTAGCGGAGGAAGGTGCGTGGGATGACCAATTGGCGTGAGCGTAGTAGCGTGCTACTAGATAGGCAAGAATAAACCATAACAAGGTCAATCGGACAGTAGTGGTGGAATTCGAGACTGGACTCGTAACCAGCGCAAAAGAGATGCGACAAAAAGTTCCTGATTGCCAAGCCAGGCGTTCGCACTAAGATGACAAGCGCGGCACGCGAAGTCACGCGTCTGGCGTTTGGGCGCTATCATCGTTCACCGAGACGCGACGGAAACCACGGTACAGCAGCGCGACTGCATCCCCATTCCCCACTCATCCCGCATTTCAAAGCTGCACATCGTATCTGCCAAAGATATCGAACCTTGTCCTAATTCATTTCTGCACCCCTCGACCGAGTCGGGCCCATCAGATGCTGTCGACATAGATCCCTTGCCAAAAGAGCCGTCCCGCAATCACGCACCACACTAGACGAACGCATCGCAGACCGCAAGATGAGTAGCGACGAAGATGGCGCGGCGCTTATGGCGGCGTTCAAGAAGAAGCCGCCACCAGGGCCCAAGGCAAACGCGGCCCTGAGTACTCCCCGCCCCGCGCCTACAAGGGAAGCGTCTGATTCCCCCGCTACAATGTCAATTCCAGACGATATGGACGAAGAGTTTACTATGCATATCGATACCCCTCCTCGCAAGCGCCGGGCGGTGTGCGTTCGGATACCAACAGCGAAAGTGAAGAAGGCCGAGTACAAGTACTATGAGCCTCAAGATGAAGTGGAGAAGGTCCTGCGCGAGTTCGCTGGGAGGAAGGGCGAGATGATTTACGAGGTCAGGCTGTCAGGTGACCGCGTCAAACAGGTGAGTGATTATATCTTGGATGTCTCGAATTCCCTTACTTTTACCGGTAAAGGCAGCCCTCGCGCCGGGTGCAGTTGGTCCCGCTATATAAGCACCACCTCTGCTTGGAGTCCTTCTTCTCTACAACTATCTATTCGAAGTATCTTACTAAGTGTCTATAGATCACCTTCGAAGAGCTCCTCGAACTCAACGGTGGCCCAGAGGCACTACAAACCTTCCAACCCGACGACGATCCAAACGCGACCGGTAGCGACGACGACATGAGACTTCGTAACCGCGCAGGCAAGGCTGATCACGAAGGCTTTGTGGATATCTCGAACTTCCCCATCTCTTCTTCCGAAGATGACGATCAAGACGAGCTTGCCTCCGATTCACCAGGTCGTCGCAATGGCCGCTCACAAGGCTTGAGGCGCGCAGCCCGTCGAGGACGTCCAGCAAGAGGTCGCTCAGAGAACAGCGATCTCATTGCGCTCTCCACAAGTGAAGAAGACTCCGAAGACGCCGGCAAGAAGCGGAAGGGTCGGCGTCGCAAAGTCGTACAACAACCCACACGACGTTCAACAAGACAGCCGATTCGAACAAACGCCAACGACAACGAGGATGAAGACGAAGACTCGGAAGATGGAACCACAGACGAGTCCAGCGCCTCGGACATCCTCCGTTCAGATCTATTACCAGGTCGCAAACGTAAGGGACGTCCTCTGCGTGCTGGAAAGCCTGAGAAGATACCCCGAGCGGGAGTCCGACAATCTGATCGGGCAACACGTGCTACAAACAACATGCAGGAAGCGGGTATCAACGACGTCTATCGATCCGACTCGGCTCCGAAAGTGGTTGCACAGAAGGTCTCAGTCGTCCGAGAAGTGTTTCCGAATCTACCCCGAAGTGACCCTTTTCGTGCGCGACACGCTGGGGGTTGCGAAGTCTGCTTCGATGGCCCCAATGTTGCGCCTCTGGTCTACTGTCAAGGCTGCTCACTGGCTTACCACAAGAACTGCTTGGGCAACCGCTCCACTCGTGATCATCTAGTCACCAAGATTGGAGACGAGGAGTTCGTTCTACAATGCAAGAGGTGCATCAATTTCTACAAGAAGAAAGACGCAACTGCTCCCGATCTATCCAGATGTCAGGATTGCGCTATCTCGGGTCCTTCCTGTCGACCCTTTAGACGTCGCAAAACCACACAGCAGGAGATGAAGGAGCGCGAGGAAAACGACGGCCATGATCCAGTCGTCGACGTACCTTCTGAGCTTGTCAATCATCCCAACAACGTCATGTTCCGCTGCACTAAGTGCTCTCGTGCCTGGCATTACCATCATCTACCACCCATGTCGCAGTACGCTATGGACGTCAATCGCGACGACGAGGAGATGGCAGATGAGCGTTTCCGCGAGTACTCTGGCAAATGGCTCTGCAAGGAGTGCGACGAGACTTTCGATCAGAAGGTAGGCGGTATCATCGCTTGGCGCCCATCGGATGTTGAGACATACCGTCCGGGTACACCATGTGAACTCGTTTGCGAAGACGATAAGCAGTACTTGATCAAGTGGGAGAACGAGTCCTACTTCCGATCCGCATGGCACTCCGGAGCCTGGACTTGGGGTGTCACGGCTGCAGTCCAGCGCAAGGCCTTCTTTAAGCGCGAGGACGGACCGAAGATGCGAACCGAAGACGCCATCCCCGAAGAGTACCTCCGTATCGATATTGTCCTCGACATCAAGTACACGAGCTATGTCGAAGTCCGTAGTGAAGAGATTGACAAAGCTCGTATCAAGGAAGTTGACAAGGCGCTCATCAAGTACAAAGGACTCGGCTACGAAGATACAGTATGGGAGAGCGTACCAACCCCAGAAGACGGTGACAGGTGGCTTGACTTTGTCACTGCTTACAACGACTGGGTGGCCGGCCGCTACGTCAAGATTCCCAAGCAAGGACCACTCAAAGGACGCATTGAAAAGGCTCGCAGCACATCATTCGCCAAACTTGAGCGAGAGAAACAGCCTGATAACCTTGTTGGTGGTGAGCTGATGAAGTATCAGCTGGAGGGTCTCAACTGGCTTTACTACAAGTGGTACGACCAGAAGAACGCCATCCTCGCCGACGAGATGGGTCTCGGAAAGACGATTCAAGTCATTGCCTTTATGGCGACCCTCATCCAAGAGCACAACTGCTTCCCCTTCCTGATTGTAGTCCCCAACTCGACATGTGCCAATTGGCGACGAGAGATCAAGCAATGGGCGCCGTCTCTTCGCGTGGTGGCTTACTTCGGGTCCGCCAAAGCTCGTGAGATGGCCTACCAGTACGAGATGTATCCCGAGAAGACAAAAGACTTGCGATGCCACATCGTCGTAACCTCCTACGACGCAGCCGCCGATGACAACTGCAGGAGGTTCTTCAGGGGTGTTAGCTGGGCAGGTCTCGTCGTTGACGAAGGCCAGCGCTTGAAGAACGACAAGTCCCAGTTGTATACAGCTCTCACAGCAGTTCGCGCGCCGTTCCGTCTTTTGTTGACTGGTACGCCACTGCAGAATAACGCCCGTGAGCTCTTCAACTTGCTGCACTTTCTCGACGACACTATCGATGCTGCTGCGCTTGAGGAGCAGTACGCTGAGATGACAGCGGACAATATTCGAGAGCTTCATGACCAGATCCGACCCTTCATTCTGCGACGTACCAAGGCCAAGGTTCTGACGTTCCTCCCGCCTTTGGGTCAGATCATTCTCCCTATCTCCATGAGCCATCTCCAGAAGCAAGTCTACAAGTCTATCTTGTCCAAGAGTCCGGAACTACTCAAAGCTCTCTTCACCTCCGACAAGCAGCTAAAGCAGCAAGAACGTGCCAACTTGAGCAATATTCTTATGCAGCTACGAAAGTGTCTTTGCCATCCATTCGTCTATAGCAGAGAGATTGAAGAGCGAAGCGAAGTTGCCGCAGTCTCTCATCGCAATCTCGTCGAGGCTTCTGCCAAGCTCTCTCTTCTCGAGACCTTGCTTCCGAAGCTTCAGGAACGCGGTCATCGCGTGCTCATCTTCAGTCAGTTCCTCGACATGCTCAACATCATCGAAGACTTTTTGGACGGTATGCAACTCCCGTACCA